GATTATAGCAGTATGGGGCAGGCTAAGTGATTAAACTCAGCTAATGAATAGTAGCGTCTCACTCAAAAACCATTAACAAAAAGTTTGTGAATAACTCTCAGCCCTAACTTAATTATAGATAAGTACCGGGCATAATGAATTTCGTAGTATAGTATTTGTAAAAGTCGAGTATGGTTGACGTATTTATAAAAGTATAAATTACTCACTTTTATGGAGATATGTATTTTAACATAATGGTATTGTACAAGTGTGTAATGCCTAGTATTCAGATATGGAAGTCTTTACAACTTTTAAAATTGTAGCATGTATATCATATAAGGCATATGTATTTGCATAATAAATACTATTTAGCACATGTATTCTCCCCCAAGAATAAATAAAATATTCAAAAGGGGCCGTAACTCTCACCTTATCGAGTGGTAAACGAGTAGTTCTGAAGACCAGAATGTATTGCCGTGAGGTCGTGATCTCCGAGATTAGTTCGATTTCCTAGAAATTTCGATATATATTAATATTTGGATGTGATTAGGTATTATAACAACTTCTTGAATAATTTCTTAAGTTTTGCCAATTTAAAATTTATTAAATTTTAAAATTTAATTTATTATTTTTCCACAAGTATTTAAATAACCCAAAATTAATTAAACTTCAAATCAAATTTAGAATTTCTAAAATGTACGTATACACATTATTCATTTAATCTTGTATTTAAAGTTGGATTTGTTTTGAAAAGATTTGTCCATCTTAGGGTAAGTTTTAAACATTTTAATAAAACTTTCAGGATTTAGAACTTAATTTCAAATAATTCTAAATATGGAGAGACTAATAATGGACAATTTCAAAGTTGAGGGATCATATCTATTTAAATGGAATACATGTTTGTAAAGTGTCGATCAATTACACAAGAGGTGTTAACCTCCTGTGTTCATTCGATATCCATGCATAAACAAAGGAAAAGAATTACGCATGATTTTATGGTTCTTTGGTTGTTTATTATGATTGACGATGCGAAGAAAATAAATATACAAGGTGGTGACGGTAGGGACTTACAGTGGCAGCAACACAACAGTGGCAAAAAAAGAAGGTGGTTTGTTCGTCGGTGGTGGCAGGAGGGTCCCCGACAGCCTCCTGCTGCCTTCTGTTGCGTCTTCTTGGTGGAGAAACTCTCGGTGGTTGAAATCAGGAGCAAACCATGGTTGAAGGAGGTGTTTGATATTAGTGGCAGTGGGTGGTGGTGTAAGGAAAAAGGAAGAGAGGGAGAGATTAAGAGAGGGAGTGATAGAGAGAAGAAGAACTGATGAGTTTGTGAGGATTCAAGTGAAGCAAAGCCCTCTATTTATAGTATAAGTCTACACACACATGCTTACTAATGGCCATACCTCCACCTGTTTATTTACTTTTGGTGATACTTGCACACCAAGATGAAGAGTGAGGGAGAGGAGAAGTACGTGGGAAGCCGGAAGGAGATCAGATTTTTGGAGTCCATCACTCCCTGTGGGCCCCACATGGGGTCTCCATTTTATGTCCAAAACATGCAAAAACCGGGTGCCTCGGGATTCGTGCATCGAATATTTTTTCGAAAGCATTTTTAGATAGAGTATAATTCAAGGATTCCAGAACCTCAAACGGATTAATTTTTGGAGTTACGGATCTCCGGGAATTTGTGTTTGAAGTTTTGCGTCTTAACGGTAGGCGGTGTCCGTTTTCGCGACTTTCATAAATATTTTCGTAAAAATTATTTCGAGTGTGAAATTAAATAATATATTATATCCTGATTCCAAAAACGCTCTCGGAAATCCCGTCGGCAAAGCGTAAGCGCCTCAACGGATCGTTTTGGTTTACGCGATTAAAGAAACCAGTGTTTTACTGTCCGTTTTTCTTATAACGGTTGTATCTTTTGCATACGAACTCCATTTTGGACGTTCTTTATATTTTCGGAAACAGGGAACACGTACTATCATATTTTAGTGTTTGTTTTGCTCAAAAATGATTATTGCTAAATTTCAGTTTTTTAGACGTATTACCCAACGCTGCAGTTGAGCATTTTAATTTGGTTACCAGGTTACATGTTTGGGCATAAAAATATCATCAGATATTACATAATAATTGAACTTAACTCATTTATATTTCAATAGATGCAGTTAAAGCTGAATGAGTTAATTACAAATAGATTTTCCGTAATTTAGTCGTTTGAAATCCATGCCCTAAATTCCGGGATGTCACATTTACGCCCTAGGACGTCTTAATAAGCTCGGATCTAATATTGGACGTTAGAACATCGAGTATTAAGCACTTAATGGAAGAAAGTGCTTAATTTGTTTGTACGTCGAGCGTAAGATATAGTACGCAACGTGTACAACTCACGGACTTAGTACGATGCGCATACCAGGGCGGTACGCAAGGCGTACGCACCTCAGATGGGCTTGGACTTGTTTTGGGTTTGTAAGCTTTTGCGCCTTAATTAGTCATTGGGCCTGGTCACGTTCTGGAGTTAGTGGGTTAGCTTATCTGTTTTGGGCCATGGATTCTATGGTTGGACTTTATTAGGCCATGGAGCCCATTAATGATTTTCGACATGGACTTTGGGCCCATTAGCAAAGGAAGACTTTTTGGGCGATTGTGAAAGGACTTAGGATTTCGGCTCTTCAATTGGATTGTGTTCCAGCCCTAATATTTTGTAATGGTATTCTTATTCAGCACGAGTGGTTACAGACTATTAGGAGTGCAGCTTTCGGATTCAGTAGACAGACGTGAGTCTCCTCACCATAGCAATGGGTCTAAGGCACCAAGGTCGGCCCATTATTTGTGATGTGATATGCTAGTTGGTTATGGAATATGTGATATGCTAGTTATTTGTGATACTTTCATGAAAGACCTCGGGGGGTTCTCGAGGCACCTATGTGTAAGACCTTGGAGGGTTTCCAAGGCATCCTTAGTAAAGACCTCGGGGGGTTCACGAGGCATTTGGGCTAAAACCTCAGGGGGTTCCCGATGCACCCGGAGTAAGACCCTAGAGGGTTTCTAGGACATCCTTGGGCTAAGACCTCGGGGGGTTCCCGAGGCACCCAGAGTAAGACCCTGGAGGGTTTCCAAGGCATCCCTATATGTTGTATCCATGGCTTATGTGATATATGTAGTTGTTATAGCTAATATGATATGTGATATGTGGATTGGGTGTGGGATATGCTTTGGGGAACTCACTAAGCATTAGCTTACAGTTTGTGGATTTGTTTCAGGTACATCCGAGCCTAAGGGCAAGGGCAAGGCTTGATGGCGCGGCATGCATTCTCTATGACGTGTTTTTATGGGATACTTTGATGTTTTCAAATAAAATTGTAACTGATATGAGTTTTGAAAACAATTGTATTTGGATTTTATGGTTTATGGAAAAGTGTTTTGGATAATCAAAAATGAAAATTTCTTTTGAAAATATGGGTCGTTACATATGGACTCATTCCATGCTGTTATTGTTTATATGTTGGTAGTTTGGGGGAACTCACTAAGCATTGACTTACAGTTTTAGGTTATGTTTCACGTACTTCAGATGACTGTGGGAAGGTGAAGGCATGCCCGTACACATCCTCTGTTTATGATCTATGATTTTGGGAAACTCTGATTACGGAAATGTTTTGAAAACTATTTTGTAAACACTTTATGTTTTGGGTCGTATTTAAAAAGTTTAAATTTATCATGATTATTCTGGATGCTACATCCAAGCTCTTCTCACCACCTTCTTCTTCTTGAAGAACACTTCCAAAACACTCCACTGGACTCAAAAATGCACTCTTCTCACTTAGGGTTGCTTGAATACGTTTTTCATAGAGGTAGGTTGACGAAGTTTGAGAAATGAGGCTATAATGGGTAGAGTTTTCATAATCCTCACGTATGTCCTGCGCACGAGGTGTACGCCTTGCGTACACATCATACGCTCATCATACTACACTTGGGCAAAATAACCATATTGCCATTATGGGCCATTTTGCAATTCCTTTTCACTCCTAAGGGCCAAGATGCAATATTATTCAAATATAGGGTCAAAATTAGAGGTACCTCATTATTGGGATGTTACAGAACTCACTAAGCATTGGCTTATTAGATACTATTAGCATTTTTACAAGACCCTCTGGGGTAAACAAAGGGAACAATCCAGCTTGACTGTCGTGGCAACTGCATTACTCTTGAAAATTATGTTTAAAAGTCTTCCACTGATTATTTCAATAAATCAAGTTTTATGTAATAAAGTTTAACATGGATTTATTTGTGTTCATTTAAACTCTTAAAATGTCATTTTTATAAATGAAATTTTATTAATATTCAAATGGGGATCAAATCAGATATTTTATTACCGCAATAAAAGTTTTTTAATTTTTTGTAAAACCGATTTAGGGTGTTACAAGCGACCAATTCTAGCTAACTAAAGATTTACAACCATCGGTTAACTTAAAATGGGGTACATGTACCACCTACAACGACATCACTTGTTTTCAAGATTATGGCGAAAGGCCTGAACTTTGGTGATGGTATTAATCTAATTAGTACGTAAACAATGCATGACCTCTTAGTCACCGTTGATTTGAAATCTTTTTTGGATTTCAACCATGGATCTGCTCTATTGGTAATTTATCCTTGTTCTCGTTTACCGTTAGAGAATTATAAATATATGGATTTATTCTCCTCAAAATACAACGCTTCATGTCTATGCATTTTTATGCTAGTCGTTGGGCTGAATATACCATACACCATTTATGTAGATTTCTTTAACAATATATCATCGATCGTTTGTGTGCTTGCTAGCTACTACTCCTCTTTCTATATATCTCTAATGTAAAAATATACTCGTTCATTGCATCAAAGAAAATTCTCATTCATTATAACAATAATGGAAACAATATAATATGACATAATACACATCTGCTTGATGTAGATTTAATATATTATTATCAATCATTAAGTAAATTGTTACCAAGGACTAAGTTAAAGAAATGACAATGACAATATTATTAATACTTTGGAACAGAATCCATGAATAACAGAGTAACATACTCCACAATCGTCTTTTCTGGAAAAGTGAACCTGTCATCGTACTTATATATCGTATCAGTCATTCTAGCAAGATTAAGAATTGGTGCAAGAAGTTCCATTGAAACTTCAGTTGGCTTAAGACATCCCTTGTTAATATCTTTCCACTCATTTTCAATCATTTGCTTGAGTTCATGAACAGCTACATTTTCTGGCACCCCGAAGGTCTTCATATACGTATGCACTGATTCAACTTGTTGTGATCTTTCACCCTCAAACTTCATAAAGACATTTCAACTTGTTAAAAAAATAATATTAAAATTTGAAGATAAACTCTAACTTTAGTATGTTGTTTCTTGTTAGATAGCTATAGAATTGATTTATATACTTCAAATACCATGAGAAAATAACTATAATGGTTATTGTAAACATCTGCAACTGGATAATGAAGGGATATATTTTTTATTTTCTAAAAATAGTTGTTTCTATAATGAAATGTTGAATTACGAATTACACACCTGGAAAGTTGTAATATCATTATAAAGTCTTCCTAGTAACTTTGTAGCTTCCCCAATATTTGGACGACTTTCATACCAAGCCAAAGTTTGTTCACTGACAATATCTCCCATAACCATTAAAGAAGATTTTGTAAAAACATCATATGTAGAAGTAATTAATCCATTCCTCAAATACTCTTCGAATGATGGCACGTGTCTACGATATCTCCATTCAGCCTCTTGTAGGTAACCTCCAGCTAGTTCTTGAAACTAGCTTATAATGACATATATGAAATTTAAAAAAAAAAAAGTAAAATATATAAGTAGACACAAATAAATGGAATCTACATTAAACAAGGTGAAATGGTATCATACTGCTTGTTTTGAAGCATCAACCCTATCTGTTCTTCCCTCTGTAGATAGTTGTTTTTGAACTTCAGTAAGCTCGTTCAAGAGAATGTTGTAAAGTGGTTTAATATATTCTGGGAGTTGTTCCATAACATTAATTTCCCAACTAAAATCAAAGGCATGTTTTCATCAAATAATCCTTGTAGAATAATTAATGTAACTAAAGATATGGGATGAGTCACCATTTAATTTTATCATCATATAATTTTTTGCTATTGAACATAATGTTAAAGGTTAGGAGATCATTCAATAAGTATACCTGTTTATGGCACTAGTTAGAATTCGAAGCTCCTCAATAGTACCATATGCATCATATATGTCATCTAACACCAAAATTAGTTGAACCATTTTCGCTAGTACGATTCTAGATTGAGAGTAATCAGGATCCGAAAATATAGCAATTGCCCATAAGTAAACTTCTGGTATTCTATCTCTTACATAAGGAGTTATAGTCTTGAACTCCATGTCCTTGATCCACCTAAATGACAAGAGTATCATATAATCTCTCTTATTTCAGGATCATGAAGACTAATATGCTTTTAAATTCTAATAATTATGCCAATTGGAATATATAAACTAGTATTAACTTGTGTGGAGTCCATTTACGTGCATGTTGTTTTGGATTAACAAATGAGTAATGGTATTCATTACATCAAGAATTTCCCTTTTATCATTATTGTGACACGCTCAAAGTTAAAATCTACAATACAGTGATATTTCAACTAATGTTGAGAAACAAAGTAAAGACATTAATTTACTAGGGTATAAGCTTATTTATTGTTTAGAAAAATAGGGTGTTTAAATTACTTGGAATAGTGAGAGTAGTGAAAGCACTATCAAATTAAAGTATTTCGATGGTATTCTCTAAATCTCAGTTAGATATAACTTAGCAAAGTTCAAAAACAGAGAATGTAGAAGATATGATTTTCTTGTGTGTGTACAGGTAAAAACGAGAATGACCAAATAACATGAGTATAAACTCCTCTCTAAAAATTGCCAAATTGATAGTAACAGGAAATAACTTCCAGTCTGAAAACTGTCACTAACTACCTTAAAACCGAGTCAACAAACAGAGTCATAAAACCGAGTCTAAAATCTCAAATTCGGATTTCCATGTATTTTTCATAAAGCAATATTAACCCAAATAAAACATTTCCATTTTGACCTTGGGTCTGTATCTTGGACCCAAAATTTCCAAACTAAAACAAAAATTGTCACCAGCTCGACCCCGGGCAAGGACTTTGCCCCTTGGACCCCACTACCAGGGGCACTGTCATTGGACTCCCGTGGTTCAGGGGTTTCATCCCTAAATAACAATTTACTTTGAATATTGAATAAACACAAACAAGTGTGCACTCGCATTAGACTTAATTATTTTATATTTATCAAGATTGTATTGGTCAACAAATTAATCACATTACACTTAATTAACATTAATAACACAAATCACCAACATTTATTACCATGTGTAGCTAATGTAAAACATGTAAGGACGATTTTCAAACCGAAGAATAAAAGGGGTGAGAAGAAGTATGTTTTTGAAAGTATGAGAGGAGGTTAGTTGAATATCGTAGCCTAAGAAGCAATGTTGATAACGGTAAGATGTGTTATTCTGTCAATGTAAGGTGTTTTTAAATTTTTAGTATAGAAATCCAATTCTATTTTAGTTTTTCATTTTTGCTAGGCATCTTGACTCTAAGTTTGGATGTTTGAGATATTTCATAAAATTTCGTTTTGAAGGTAAGAGAGCCCATGGTCATTATGAAGGTCTATTTCGATATCCAATAATTTATAAACCGGCCCAAAGTCCAACAAAATTAATACATTATGTAGTTTATCTTCGGCTCCAAAAAGATATCGAGCATGTTATTCTAGTTCTCAAAAAATAAAAAATAAAAAATAAATCAATATTTCATTGAATTCTTTTTTAGTTTTGCTATATATAAAAGTTTGTAATTGCACTTCCTGTTTGCTTCTGTTTTTATGTTTATTTTAACTTTATGTATTTGTGACCTATCATCAGAATATACTAATGTTTTTGGAAAATAACTTTATTTATTATAAATATATAAAAGGATATAAATAAAACTTATTGATCTATTTAAAATGATATCACTATTACTATTATTGATATTGATTTTACTTATAACCTTATTTATGTTGTTTTTAATTCATTAAGAATCGTCTTCTAATTTAACATGGGATTTTAATCTAGAAGAAAAAAACAAAAGAATTCGTTAGATTAGATATATAATTAAAGCATAACATCCTTATGAACCCTATCTGATCAGGATACTCTTCATGGGTTTTAACTTAACTCGATCGGGGTTCGTTTATTCCACCGCCTCAAAAACTTTCATACCTTTAATCATCTTCTTAATCCTTCGTTGTCTCTTTCTAATTCGGTCCTTCCACCGCTTGGTTGTCCATTGAAACGAAGTATATTAACCTCAACAAATTATGAGAGATCGGAGCATATCAACGGGGAAGTAGAAAGAAGCAAGGGACATACATCTTCAAATCACCGTCTGATGAGTCGGTTGCTTTATTTAGATTTCTTTTTGCTTATTTAATTATCGATTTTATATGCCTCACCATTTCCGATTAATTTGTTCTGCTCTCAGTTCGTTTTGGAATCTTCGGTCTCTCTTCCTCTCCTTTTATCTCCTCGGTTCTCCTCTACGCCACTATAGAAAATCACGTTTCAAACTAGAAAGCCCTAAACTCTTTCGAATTTAACAGTGGGGGAGGCGTTGTCATGTCTTTAAATGAACCTTCGATTTTCTTGACCTGCAAACCTAAGAACAGGTTTCAAAGTACTCCATGGATGATGGCAATGGGCCCCTTGATGAAGTGTCGGCTAAAAGTCCAAGACTTGTCTTTTCCCTATAAATAGTCATGTATTATTCATTATTAAGGTTAAGAGTGAGACAAAATGTAGCCGCCACGTTGTGAGGTTTCTTGTAGAGTTAGATTCTTATTCTTAAAGTGTAATATGTTCATCATAATTGAATAAATCGAGTGATCATTCAACATATCTTCGTATTTGTGTTTTTTCTTATTTTCCGCATCTTGTTCATCAAATCAGAATTAGGGTTTTATTCCCAACAAGTGTTATCAGAGCCAGTAGCGAGGGTTCTATTCTCTCAGGGGAACAATTTCTGGGGGGGGGGGGGGGGTTGTTGGGGGTCAGAAATGACATCGACCAAGTCCTCGTAAAATGGCGTGGAGTGCCGCAATAGAATGTCTGGTCCTGGAGGGCTGAATGCGCTGTATGGGTAAGGTTGCGCCCTTTCAAACACCAATTGGTTTTAGATCAACCGGTAGCGCTCATGCTCAACAAGTGGTATCAGAGCGGGTTTTGAAGATCTATTGATTTTTGAAGTATCGGTTCTTGATTTGATGATTTTCTACACAAGTTTTTGAAGAATATTGGTATTTTGGCGTCTTGGAATCAAAATTTTCTTCAAGATACTCTTCATGGAAATTTATGTTTTTCTTCAACTGTTCATATGGTATTTTCTTTAATCTGATTCGCTCTTCTCTTCATATTGGATTAGTTCATCGATTTTATTACTTTGTTTTGACCCAATTGGATATGTTTGTAAATTCTTTCAATTTGGCCCAATCTTTTGGTCAATTCACTGTTCCTGGTCCATATGCTTAATCACAATCCAGTTTTATTTGGCCCTAATATTACATCTGAGTCTCCGTTTGCGTATATCATTCGTGATTATCAATTTCAACATCCGTACCGTGATTATCGACCCATGAATCGATTCCTTTAGCTTTCAGTTTTTTTTTAATCGATTGGTGCTCATGAGTTTCTGGGTATGTTGATGGACCATTGAAGAACGTTTGCTGTTTTGATTGAAACACAAGTTCGATCTGGAATTGACTTGTGTAAATTAATTTGGTGATTATCACGGAACTCAAATCACCAATAAGAGATTAGCTTATGATCAGATTTTACAATTAGAATACAGGTCTCGGAGTCGGTACCAATTTCTCAGAATTTGGTTTCAAAATTGTGATGTTGGATGGCGTCAATCAGAACGATATGGAATGGTTTTTGTGTGTCTGTTCGCTTTTGCAGGTCAAAATTGGTATTGCAAAATCTTTGGTGTGAGTGAACTCACTGAGAACGAATGTAATCGGATTTTGGAGTTTATCGGAATGAAATCGTAACAGGTACTCAATTGGAAGAACACCGGTCAAACGAAAGTCAAAATTAAGTTACTTGTGAACATTTGTTGACTATGATTCGCAATTTACCTAGAGATTCATGATCTGTTGATTCGAAGCGAAAGGGTTAAAAATCGAGAATGGAAATATGGGATTGCACTCGTTCTTCTCCCACGATCGTTCAATTCGGAAGCAAACCTGTGATTGGGTTCGTGTTTGAAATTGGTTCGCTTTGGGTGTGATACTTCGCGTTCAGAACTCAGGGCTCGGTATGAAGGCTTGTGCTCGAAATGAACCTGGATTTGTGTTTGTATCTGTGTGCTCGGAACGAACGGTGGCACTATTGGACTCGGACATGAACATAAGGAAGAAAAAGAAAGGGTCGATCGACGTTATCAGATGATTGGTATCGTATCTGTGGTTTCGCTTGTGACCTTTCGTTTGAAATCATTCGTTTGGTCCCTGCAACTTCAAGAATTTGACGATCTGGTCCCTACACTTTTCATGCCTTGGCAGTTTTGGACCATTTCCAGATATTGTTACAAATAAAGGGGAATATTGATGCAGAATTACCATTCCAGCCCCTGTCTTTCAGCAAGTGACAGTTTCTGCCCAATATTCATAGAAGTTTGCAAATTTGAGGGCTGGTGAATAGTTTTGGATTTTCTATCGCACATATTTTTTTCGTGAACAGAAAATTAAGGATTCCATCAAGTCTTGGCGATTCGGAAAGTCGTTTTTTGCAATAAAGTCAAAAAAAAATCGACTTTTTTTTTATTTTATACTTCATTGTGTATATCGTTTTGTCGCGGGGGAGCATAGTGTTTTTTATCCATTCAAGATCATTCTCATGACCATTTGAAGGCTTTATAATCACGTTTTTTTATCATAAATCAGGGGAGAATTTGGTATGGCCATTCGAAATTGGATTTGTGACTTTTCAAATTTGAAGATTTTTGATAAAGCTTGTGGTAGAATTATGAAGGTAGATTTTACAGTAGCAGTTCTTCATCGAAATCTTCTAAAGCTTTTGTAGAGAAGTATCATTTACAGTAGAAGTTCTTCATCAAGCTCTTCTAAGGACTTGTTATATCTCCGACTTCTAGTATTTTCTCGATCAAGTGGCGTTACGAATCTTAACATTTAGGTTGTTACATGATAATTTTTTGTGGCTTATATCATTAGCTTATTTGAAGATCATTCTGACTTGGAGGGGAGCTCTTCAATGACAAGAAGTGATTTGGTTTCTTTGTTCTGAAATGGTTTTTTATGACGAGTTTGGCTTTATTGAAG